CGCCCGCCCGCCCGCCCCCGCGGCCGCCCCGGCCTCGCCGCAGCAGCACATCCGCAGCCAGAGCGCGCGGCCGGCCATGGGGCTGCGGGGGGACCTGTGCGCCGTGCTCTCCGCGGGCGCTGCTCCCACCCACGCTTTCCCGCAGACCAACATCAAAATCAGCCAAGGTGAGTGCCGAGCGTGGCGCCTTGCTGCGGGGCCCCGAGGGCTGCAGCCGCCTCAGCAGGAGCTGGGAGCTGTGTGCCGCTCACAGAGCGTGCCAGGGGCTTTCCGAGGTTCCCGAGAAGCCCAGGCTTCCCCCCCGGGATGCACAAATCAGCCCCAAACTTCTGCTCCTACTTGCAGACCAACATCAAAATCAGCCAAGGTGAGTGCCGAGCGTGGCGCCTTGCTGCGGGGCCCCGAGGGCTGCAGCCGCCTCAGCAGGAGCTGGGAGCTGTGTGCCGCTCACAGAGCGTGCCAGGGGCTTTCCGAGGTTCCCGAGAAGCCCAGGCTTCCCCCCCGGGATGCACAAATCAGCCCCAAACTTCTGCTCCTACTTCCTTCCCACGGGCTCATCTCCCTATGCATGGGACAGGCTGCTCTTTCCCCCGTCAGCAGCCGCTGCAGGGACGATTCCCCCTGCTGCTCCTCGTGTTTCCCGCAGCATTTTGTGGGGATAGCGGGAGCGGGAGCCTGTGGGCAGCACATCCGAGCACTGCTGCCTCTCACTGGTCTGCCCTGCCAGGTGTGAGCAGGAACAGGAGCAGAGCGCAGTGTGTTTGGTGAGTTTAGTGAGAAAAATCATGGGTGCAAGCTTGGTTTTCCTGCTAGACAGCTAAACGATGGGAGCTTTGCCAAAGCTAATTAGGGAGGAAAAAATGTAAGATTGCTACTATCTGTTAGTGCTAAGGTGGTGCTGGGTGGTAGGAGGGCTGCTGCGAGTAGCTGTGGTGTCTTCATGTCTGGTAACACACATGGCACATTTATTCTGTAAGAACAGCTTGTTTTTTTGCTACAGGATTTTAAAAAACAGAACCCTGTTGGGAAGGTTGTTACTTTTCCAGCACGCTTCAGATCAGATGGTGTTTAGGATTTTACTTGGCAGCTCGTGACTGAAAAATGCTTGCAAAATGTTGCCCATTTATGAAATGATCTGCGGGTCCATCGCTGGCTGCCCCAGGCTCAGCCCTAGCTTCACAGAACCTGGCTCCTCTGGCACCATGCAGGGACCGAAAGCCACCCGGCCTCTGCTGCTGGTCCTTCCCATGAGGGGCTTCCATGGGTAGGGCTGGTGGCCCCACATCCTGGGGACCCGCTTGGGTCTTGTCCTCGACCTCAGCTTGGTGTGAGCCCGTTGAGACTGTTGGGACCCTCCAGTCCAAAAAGCTTTCAAGGAGCTAAAGAGGTCCAGCAGTTTTTTGGGTCCCAAGGGAGCATGAATTTATTGGTGCTGGAAGCAGGTTCTCAGCAGCAAGGATGGCATCTGCTGCCAGACTAACTGATTCTTCTGCAGCAGAAAGTGCTTTGATGTCCCTGTCCTCCACCATAGGAATGTCACTTGCATGGAGGTCTCTTGCCAATCTTGTTCTAGCCCCACACACCCTATCTCAAACCTGCTGCCCGCTCAGTGGGATGCATCCTTGTCCTGATAAGGGAGAGCACCCAGCTCGGCAGGAGTTGTGCAGCCAGCACGTCGTCATCTTCCCTAGCCTCCTGGCGTAAGAAAAGCTTGAAACTGGCTGGGATTTTCTCAATTAATTGTTTCTGGTTGGAAAGTGGCCTTTTGGGGAAGTGAGACTTTTTGCTGGGGATGTGCCAGCTCCTAAGAATTTTGACAAGTGATTTTGCTCGCTAGAGAGATCCTGGGGATGGTGCAGTGGCTCTCAGCACGTTAGTAAATAAAAAGGCTCTGGTTTTGTTAGCAGCAAAACAGATTCCAGGAGCTCAAAACATTTTTTCTGACGCCAAATTCTTGTTTTCCGGCTTTTCTGAGGTAATTTTACCTCATTTCTTCAGCCAATCCTGGACACTGATTTAGCTGCTGCTCCCAGCCATGACCAGGTGACTTAAGAAAGGATCTTGTCCTCACTTTCCCCAGGATTTAGGAAATGGTTTGAGGTTGTTGCAGAAACTGAGGGGCTCATAGTGGTGGGGACCCCCCATCCTCCTGCTCCGCAGGGTGACCCGATGCTGCTGGGGGCAGTGCCTGCTGCTTAGAAATCACAATCTGACCCAAATATCCTCCAAATGTTTCCCCTGTTTCTTCTTAGATGAAAATAGCATCCTCAGCTGCTTGCTTAGGTGGTGAAGTGTCCCTACAGGGCAGTGAGTGCACTCATACTCACAACCATGTGTACAACTTCTTACGACCTCTCTGCTTAAAATAGCCCCCAATGGTCCCAGATAAGCTTGGTACCGTGGTCCTTCTGTCTGATAAATGCAAGTGTAGAACTTTGCTTCCAAAGTGAATGTGAAAGCCTCCAATGTTGACTGAACAGAAAAGATACTAATTAAACACTGGCATCCCCCCCCCTGCCCCCCCCCTTTTTTTTTCCTTTTTGGTATATTTAACCTCAAATTCCTTCAGGCACCTATGGTTCGCTGAAGCTCATCAAATTAATGATACCTAATGGGAAAGCAGTGTAGAATATCAAAGAAGGACCAGCCCCATCTCTGACCTTTCTTGGCTGCTCAGAACAAAAGGAGGTGACTTTTGCCGGACGACACGATCAGCCGCTGGCCCACGATGGCCATTTGGGACCCCAGAAGTCCCCGGTGCAATTAGCACTCCAAAGCGGAGGGCTGCTGCTGATTTTGCCATCGTGCTGCTAAAGGTGAAGAGTTTGGTGAGGTTTTTAACAGCCTCTCTAAAAACGCTGCTTCCCACAGGGCTGCTGGAGCTTGTGGTGACTGCCAGGGCAATGTGTCCAGGGCAAGGCCGCGCTGTGCGTACAGGCATGGGCTGCAGTGCTGCTGGGGAGGCTTTGCTGCAAATGCTGGGGACGCAGAGCATCAGCACACTGTGGTGTGCGGCGGAGACACCGCTCTGCCTCCTGCTTTGATCCAGGGGCTTCTTATCTTTGTTTTTTCCCTAGCCTGTAAAGCCATCAGGGCCGTGCAGGGAAGCTGTGCCTCTCAGCAGGGTGCCCCGGTCCTGGCGCTGGGTACCGGCAGTGTGGGGACCGGCAGGGACTGTGCTCTGCAGGGGGGAAGGCCCCTTCCTAGCACTTCTCAGTACCCTTCTGGAGAAAAGCAAAACAAAACAAAGGCATCTTTGCTTTTTTGGGTTCTGTCATCTGCAAATCGAGTGCAACGCCTGCTTCAGGAGGGATTTGTGCGATTAATTGCTTAACGTTTGTGAATGCTTGGAGGTTCCCATGTGGAGAGAACTGATGAATTACAAAATTATCTCCCAAGGAGGTGCCTCACCAGTGCTGGGACTAGGGGGAAATTATTCAGCTCAGCTAATGCTCCTGCGGCCGCTTAGAATTCATCTGATTTCTCCTTGTTCTGCACAGTGAGTGCTCTGCTCGGAGCTGTCGCTTCACGCACGCCTTGGGGCAGCGTTGGGCTCCGCGCACCCATTGCTCCCTTGCAAGGCTGTTTGCACCCAGTGTCCTTCGCACCCAAGGCTCTCTTGCTCTAGTCCAGCCTCTCGGGTTGGAGCCTGTTACCCGCTTGGATGGTTCTGTGGCATTTCTTTCCCCCGAGGGCTTTTCCTGTGAAAATGCGGTCCCTCTGGCCTTGAATAGCATGGTCCCTTGCACAGGCTGGTCTCTCCTCCTCGGGCAAGACCCAGCCTAGCAGTGAGGAGTGCAGCCCATGGGGGATGCTGGGGTGCTTTGAACAGCCCTGGAAATGGCAAGGGAATTCCAGAAGGGAATTAAGGGTATTTGCTGATGGTTTGGGACTCATTGGCGTGCTGGCATGGGAGTGTTGTGCTCTTTGGAGCAGCTTCCCCATTTTCTTGTGGTGATGGCATGGTACAGTCTCACCTCTGTGGCCCGTTAGCCCACACTTTCCTCCTGGAAAACCCCTGGCTTTTGCCAATGTATTGTTGTTCACCATGCTTTTCTTTCTGCTGCGTGTTTGCCGGGGTGCGGAGGGGATGGCCGCTGCCTCGCCGCGACCCCTCTGCGCTCTCCCGCAGCCGTGCCGGAGCCCGTGCAGGCCTACTCCTGCCCGCTCTTCTGGACCGAGTACGAGGGCCACTGCTACAGGTACTTCCCCATCAACAAAACGTGGGCCGAGGCCGACCTCTACTGTGCCGAGTTCTCCATCGGCATCCGCTCCGCAAAGCTGGCCTCCATCCACAGGTAAGGGCAGCCGTCGCGCGCGCCGGTGCTGCCGCCCCGAGCGCGGGGCTGACGCGACCTCCCAATGCGCAGCTGGGAGGAGAACGTCTTCGTGTACGACCTGGTGAACAGCCGCGTGCCCGGGATCCCCACCGACGTCTGGACGGGGCTCAACGACCTCCGGCAGGTGAGGAGCCGCCTTGTGCGGCCTCCGAGCAACGCGGCGGATTTTATTCATGTTTTTTAATTCTCTACCTGCATTTTGTCCCTGTAAAGCTGCTTGGTTTTCCTCCTTTCTCCTCAAAAAAGTCATTAATCTGCTCCACCTGATGCATGTGGTGTATCAGTCACGATGCAGTGTGCAAGGGAAAGGTGGCTGTTCTTCTCTGTTCTGCTTTTAAAATAGAAATATTACTAGAATTAATAGATCATGAATGATTATTCATGCCATTACTAATCAATTAATAATAGGCTGTGCTTCCCTATGCTAGGCATGTCCCCTCTCCTCGCAATATTTTAGTCTGAAGTAAAGCCTTGCTTCGCTAGCAGGAAGATGGGGTAAGCAAGGCAGGAGATTGGAGCACAGCATTGTTTGAAATATAAAAGTTATTTCCATTCTAAAGAACCTGAACAAGGTAGTTAGTCAAGTTTTAAAACTTATTTTTGTGAATTCTTTTATCTGTTTTTTTCCTTGGCCTCTTTTTTATGTCTTAAGCCTGGTAGAACTCTTGCTGCATGATCATTTTGGCTTTTTCTAAATTCTGAAAAAACTTGGAAATTATCTTATGAAGTTTCAGCTCGACACAGTTTAGTGCTATCCCCTTTGTAAGCTGAAAATGTATCCAACTTCAAAATAAGAACTGTCAGCGTCACCAGGTTTCGCTGTTGTGATGCTCTACAACCTTTGAAAAGCTGTAATTTTGGAGGTGTGTAATGAGAAAATAAAACCTGCAGCAGTCGGGTTTGAGTTTGTAGCATACGCGATGGAGGTCGCTGCTCTGGCTGGTGCTTCCGCACGCAGCCAGCTCCCTGCGCTTGCTCGCCTGGTGCGGGGATGTCCCAGTCCCCGTCCCCGGTCGGGTGCCCCGGCGCAGCACGGGAGCTGAGCGCCTGCGTTTCTAGGAGGGCCACTTCGAGTGGACGGACGGCTCCCCGTACGACTACAACTACTGGGACGGGAACCAGCCGGACGACGGGATCCACGCCATGCCGGCGGAGGAGGACTGTGTGCAGATCTGGTACAGGCACAGCAGCGGTGAGTGCCCCCGGCCCATGGATGCCTTCCTTTTTATTTGCGTGTAAATAAATTAAATCCGTTGCAGCTCAGCCTCTTCTGAAGAGGATGGTGGCAGGCTGACAATTCACATTTTAAATTTGTATTAATATTTTCTGAGTTTGTTTTTGCTTTTTTCAGAGAGGTGATGTGTTCTTGGTTACTGTGGCCCTGTTGCAGGGGTCCACTCTCCCCTTCCCCACATGCACGTACACACTTGCTTTCCCTGCTCATAACCCATTTATCTCCCACTCCAATACGTTTCCTCTCCAATCACAGTCCTGATGAACAGAAGGCAGGAATGGAACATCACTCACTATACAGAATTACTGCATTTAGTCAAAGGTCATATTTTCCCATTTCCCTCTCCTGCACAGAGCTTGTGCAAAGATCCATCAGTCTGCCAGCCTTTGCCTCCCTTTTATAGGCCACAGGGTTCTCACTGAAGTGCAGCAAGATCCTGCGTGTGCAAAAATTAACACTTCATGCTCTCTGGTATTATTGCTTAGTGTCACTGCAGGGTGTTACACACTCAGAGTGGAGGAGCACAAAGTTGCTTTCCCTAGCGAATAACAGGAGGTAGGTAAATGTGACCTGCAGAGACCGTGGGACACAAACCTCAACTCCTCGCTCATTGGCTGCTCCTCATGAGACCTTTTCCCCTGTACCCAGGCACTAGTTGCATCTGCCATGTAATTTTGCTTCCTTTCCTGCCCAGGAGCACCGTGGCTCTGCCTTAGTCTGCAGGTTATACCACTGTCATCTTGCACCCGTGCAAGCTGCAACCCGCCCCGATGCGGAGCAGCGGCCGGGGCAGACAAAGCTCAGGCCGCTGTTTCTTCCCCCTGGCAGCGCTGCGGTCCTGGAACGACAACAGCTGCGGCAGGGAGTTCCCCTTCGTCTGCAAGATCCCCTCGCTGGCGGCTGAATAGCGGCCGGCTGGGTACGTCAGCGGAGCATCCCCAAGCCGGGCCAGCTGCACAACCAGCAGGAAACATCAGCCATGTATTTTATTCCTGTGACCGGGCAGGAGCGAAGCGGGGCAGGAGCAGCGGGGGCCGCGGGGTGCAGGACTGCGTCGCACACCGAGCCAGCACACCCAAAGCCCAGCCAGGGTTTGGCTCCAAGTGTAGTGCTGCATCGTACTGGGGAAGACACTTCACCCCTATGCCAAACAGTTACCCCCGCTCCTCCCCCAGAATAGCTACGTTTAGGAAACGGTTTTGCCTTTGGAGGCTGGAGAGCAGAGGAAAGGTGGCATTTCTGGTTAGGCTATGCGAAGTGGCTTTGTGTCGCTGAAGTTATTCTCTCTCCACTGAAATAAAAGGCAAACGGCAAGAGGAATTTCCTCCATCTTTCTGGTGCTGTTGAAGGAAACAGGGCGAGTTGCTGGGCTGGGCCAGAGGGGGTTTTGCTGAGTAGCTGCAGTCTTGTGCCTGCACTGCTCCCTTCTCTGCTGGGCTGGAGAGCTGCTGCTGTGCGCCAGGTAAGTGGCTGCATTGTGTCTCCCCACCCAGCGCTGGCTCTCAGATGCTGCCAGTGGATCCAGGGGTGAAGGGCAGCTCTGGTGCCCATGGCCACCCTGGGCCAGGAGAGCCCAGGGAGAGGAGCTCTCTGCCCTCACTGCTCTTCCTGGGACTCCGCTGTGGTAATACCCGCCTCGCTGCTCTAGAAGAGCAAATGCAATACTAACTCTGTGTATTTGCTTCCTCTAAGCTTGCCACGGGTATTTATAGCACCACTATGGTTACAAGCCCTTTGGATGGCTTTGCTGTGTTTTGTTTTTTCTTTATACAGTAGTAAAATCATAACTATAATGTAAAAATAATAAAATAATTTGCATTATCTTTTAAAAATCAACTTGGAAATGTGTTGACTTCTCTCAGGAGGTGCAGGCAGCTCTTGGTGGGGGCTGTTGCTTTGCTTTGCTGTGCATGACACGGATGCACAGCTATTCCCTCATGGAGGTGAGGGGGAAGCATAGATCTGCAACCCTGTAGTGGTGTCTCCTTTGCCAGCTAAGAAATGCAACATTTCCAAACTAATACTTTCCAGAATGATTGCGTTAAATACAGTGAGGCCAAAGCCCACTGGGAGCTAATAATAATAATTTACAGTGGTGTTGTCATTGCTTTTTGGCTAAAATGTGTTTCCATTCTCTTGGGAGCTTGGAGTGAGGCTGAAAACATCGTGGCAGAAGTTGCTGTGCCAGGTGGGAGCACTTGTGTCTGAGGGTACTCAAGCAAGGGGATACGACAGTCCCTCAAATGAATATGTATTATATATGTAGTGTGTGTGTATATATGTAAATATATAATATATATAGTAAAATCTATATGCTCTTGGGGGAGTGGAAAGCAGGCTGCACGACTTTTAGCCTCGGGCAGGAAAAGCAGGAGCTGTGGTGAAATGCGTGGTGTGACCGGGGCGGCTGGGTTGGCAGGGGCTGAGGTTGTGCATAAGCCTTGAGCTGTGGCTGGTTCTCCCCTGTCCTTGCCTGTGTGCACGTGCTTTGGACGCCACAATGGTTTTGTCCCTTGAGCGACCCTTGGCAGCGAGGAGGATGCTTCCCTGCTCAGATAATCCTGAATTCACTGGCTGCTTCGTGGTTGGCCCTGATCCTGGCTCCCTCTGCGACCGCGAGCAGAGCCTGGGGCACTGTGAGTGCCCTTTGCTGCGCGAGGCTGGAGGGGCTGGGCTCGAGTTTCCCTGTGGTTTTGCTGCATACTGGGCTGCAGAACAGCGGCCAGGTAGAGCCGGTGCCGGCCAGGCCTGCCCTGCTCCCCGGGGCCTCGCTGCTTCCTTGTTTACATTTCTTGGTGATACTGCAATGAATTAATCTAAGCCAAAGTCAAGACATGCTGATGCCTTGATGGCCAGAAGCCACCTCATGCTATGAAAGCAATCAGGGCGCTTCCGCGGTGCTGGCACAGCTGAAAGGTTGCAAGGTCTTACCCACCTTGAGAGGCTTGCGGGGACAGCCAGGGTTCTGGAGGAAACCTGTTCTATCTGCAGGGATCTGCCGCGGTTGCTGGCCACGGGCTTACCCCGTGCTGTTTGTATTGCTGGTTCAACTGTGCTAAAGTGTCTCCTGAGCCTGAAACCGTCCCTTGCAGTGACCGACGGAGGCGGGTGATGTCCCCATCTGGCCCGTCCTTACGGGAGTTATAGCTGTGTGTGAAACCTTGCACCCCTGGGAAATGCTCTGAGTCAACATGCAGGATACACACACCTAGACAGACAGACAGAGGCACGTGCGTGCAGACAATGTTTAGTCCTCCTGCCAAATTCCAGAAGGCAAAACTCACTTATTTCCTCAATGAATGCAAAACCTCTTTTTTTTTTTTTTTTTTTTTTTTGCTATGGAAATACAAAGCTGATAGAGTTGAGGGAAACTCACCATATTTCTCCATGCAAATACCTGTGCTCTTACAGCGAATTATGTGTAAGACTTTCTCTGGACAACTTCTTGACACAATATGCTGTCTCCCACATTGGGGAATAACTGCTGATTTGGAAAACCAGGCCTTGCCAGGACAGGGAGGTGTGTTGAGGACGCAAAGTTGCGTGTTGAGGATGTGGTGTGAGGAGGAGGGTTGGGAAGAGCAATCCCTGGCACAGAGGGTGAATCTTTTCCCAGTGCAGCACTCATGTCCTGAACAGATCAGGCCTGGTCTGACAACAACCTGGAGGATTTGTCCAAGCCGTCAGGAAAGGTCATAGAACCAGCATTTCCAAGGTGGGTCTCATCAAGGTTTGATTCATGCCACTTGGGATTCTCCAGTATTTCATACATAAATGACCTAATGGAATTTTATTGCCACTCCTAATTGCCGTTAGGCTGCCCTGGCCTTCGGTCACCAGCTGCCTTTGCTGTCCTCCCAAGGCACTGTGGCGCTGCAAGGGCTGTCTCCAGGCCAGCGCCATTTCACCACCACACAGCAGATCCTGTGCTCCACCCTGGCTCATTTTGGGTACCGACAGCGAAGGGATGTTCTTCCTGGTTAGAGCTTGGGCAAACTGGCCGTCGCTGTTTGCCCACGTGTACCAGCAGTGCAGGCCGGGAGAGAGGGGCAACCATGGCTTCTTGATGGTGTGCATATGGTCTCCTCTTGCCATTCCTTTCTCCCTTAAGTTCCTTCTTCTACGAGTGAAAATAAGTTTCTTGGGACCGTGCTGCCTTTGGCAGAACAGCTGAGAAGCTGCAGGCCGGGTTGTGCTGGCCTGCTCGGGAGCTGGAGGTGCTGGCTCTGCAGTGCCGAGGAGTCGATTCCTTTCCAGAGAGAGAGTGGGATGCAAACGTGAGGCAGGAAGTAACAAATCTGGTTTCTCAAGGCTTTTCCTTCTTCTGTCATATGAAAGCAATAAATTATATATAGATAATAACATTATATAGAGACCAGCTGTAGAAACAAAATGTTCTTGGATCCAACAAGTTAACAAAATGTCAGTGTGTAGAATCTGATCTATAGCTGAAAAATGGCTCGAGCAACTATCTTGAGTGCTACTGTAGAGGTCATCTTTGGACCAGAGCATGCGCCAGCCTTGCAGAACGATGGGCTACAGGCAGCACGAGGACAGCGGGGTTGGGGCATCTGCCCGGCATCAGGCAGAGCTGTCAGCAGGGCCCTGTCCTGCGTTTCAAGTTGGGTGGTACCATTATCGCATGCTCATGCACTGAGTTTTTATGCAAATTATTATACTTTTATTATACTTTTCTGGAAAAAAGCACCATGCTTTGGCTAACGCCAGCTAGAACCTCCTTAGCTTTTGATGTCCCAGTGCAAACACTTCACCCATGACATCTCCACTTCTAGGCCCTGCATCCCCTGGGCTACAACACAGTTTCTGAGGGCAGCAGGAGGTCAGATGGTGGAGCGGGCCGTGGTTGCAGGAGGATGGTGTGCTGGGCAGAGGCCAGCATGCTCTCTTCCAAACTCTTCCCTCTTTGATGGGAGTTTGAGGCTTTTAGGGAGATTGGATGGTAATTACTCTAATAATACATTGTGAGCAAGAGCTAGTGGTCGGAGAAAACCTCTGGAGGCTTCGTTGGTGAAGTCAGAAGACCTGAAAGCAGCACCTTCTGTGTGTAGCCCCTTGGAACAGGCTGGATCTCAAATTATCTTCTACCATCTTCAGTTTCCCTTATTGCCTTACTTTCCTGTGGCATGTTGCCCATGATGTGTAATCAAACCCTGGCTCCAGATGTTGCTGCTGTAAATGTGCCAGTGGCCCAGAGAGATGAGAGAGATGTCTCATTGCTGTGATTGAAATCAGCTGCATGATGTAAAACCATTCAGCAAAGCCCAGCAGAAGACAACTTTGACTGCAGCTTCTCGGGTAAAGCTCAGTCTTACTCAGCGGGTGTCACCCGGGGCAGGAGAGCACCTCCCTGGCTCTACCAGGGCTGTTCCACCCTGCCCAGAGCTTGCAGGACATTCAGGGCAATGCAGGAAAAAGTTGCCACATTGGGACGTGGAGACTCATCCTAGTAACTGGTCAGCAAAGTTCAAAGCTCTGCATCAGGCTTGTTGCTGGTTTGTTTTACCTAGTCAACCCGCATGCCCAGGCTCTCAGATCCTTTGCATCTCAGGTTCAGAAGAACTCGAAGTTCATGACTGCTGGTACTCTGTATAGGACAAGTCAATGAACACTCTTTTTTCCCTGTAAGTGGCACAAGACATTTCAAAAGAAAGGTTAAAGAGTTCCCCTGGGGAAGTGTTTGAAGTCACGGAAGAATTGGGCCCTGCTGTGGCTGAAAATACTGCTAATGGGAAAACCTATGAAAACTGTCAGCTCCAATTACTGTCTTCATTTTCAGGTAAAAAAGAACTAAATATGCACGACTAGAAATTCTGAAAGTCAAGACCAAAGTTAATAGGGTTTTTGCTTTGCAAATCTCCCTCGGTTTCTCCCTAGCTTCCAGAATCCT